CCAACCGATCACTGTGAGTAATATCTTAACAAAGATATCTGAAATATGTTATTGTCCAATTGCTTACTCCTATGTAAGTTTTATAAGTTCGTTGACTCGATTGGTGGACAATGTTTGCCATGCCCAATGAATGGGCCAGAGGCCAGTATGATCTGAATGATAGAATGAATGGGCCAAAGGCCAGTTTGACATGAACGAATGGATGGGCCAGAGGTCAGTATGAGCTAAATGATAAAATGAATGGGCCAAAGGCTAGTTTGACATGATAGAATGAATGGGCCAAAGGCCAGTTTGATATGATGGAATGAATGGGCCAAAGGCCAGTTTGACATGAATGAATGAATGAATGGGCCAAAGGCCAGTTTGACATGGTAGACTGAATGGGCCAAAGGCCAGTTTGACACGAAAGCATGAATGGGCCAAAGGCCGGTTTGACATGAAAGTATGAATTGGGCCAAAGGCCAGTTTGACAGGAATGAAAGATAAGTGGGCCAGAGGCCGTATGACATGAATGAATTGGGCCCGAGGCCGTAAGATGTGTTTGGAACCGCAATCACTTGACCTATATTTGTACATATGTTGGATAGAAATGCGAATTGGGCCTAAGGCTATTTGAAACATGTTGTTCTAAATACCATTTGTGTAACTTCTTTATTGATATTGTTCACTGGGTTTTCGCTCACGCTCATTCATGTGTTTGTAGGTAAGCCAAGAGAGGTCCCAACCCAGCCTCAGTGAAGTCCGTGTGGAACAACCATGGTTTTGAAGAGTCAGCCCTTACGTCTCACGCACGAGATTCGTCTTCGACCTTTTGCTTTGTTTTGTTTTGTCATGTCGGCGAGGACCTTGGTTTATGTTTGTATATAGTTTTGATTAGCTGACCCAAACTGAATGATCCTGTGTATGTACAGAGTTATTTGTATTGGTACATATTTTGATATGAGTTATTGACATGTATATGCATGGTTTGTTATGATGTGCCATGTAAGCACAGCTCTATGGACAAGGTTTTAAATTTTGCTTCTGTTAGGCCCCTCTACTCTGATGAGTTATGTCTGGTTTGGTTTGAGGCCGTAGGTAATCCCTTGATTACTGGCCGATTATGTCCTAAACCCATAGGGGCCGGTTTGAGTCATGACACGCTTATTCTACCATTTTCTAGGTTTTCACAGGAAAGAAATTGATAATAAGCACTGAAAAGAGGGCTCATGAGGGGAATTATGTCGTTTGAATCACTACATTCAGATGCGTCTGTTGCTTCAACTGATGCACGTGTCGGTTTGAGCCTAGTAAATGGTTGCCATGTGTCTAGTGCAAAAATGGTGTATCAGACGAAGGAATGTCTACTCTGAAACTGTAGTTCAGGGTTTCATTTAAAAACCATTATGCTTATCCAAAACCCTAGACAGGTGGGAAAGGATTTTGAGCAGCACATTCTCAACAGGAACTCCAACTCTTTTTGAGTTTAAAGAACTGAAAAAAGATGGAGTTGATGAGCAATTGTGGGAGGTTAGAATGACTTGTGACTGAACATCACGGAGGTTTAGGTCCAGAATAATATCTTCACAGGTCAGAAGTGTGATAACCTTGTTCTGTGTTATACTGTTAACCTTTAATTATGCTTGTGATAATGTGCTTAATATGAAGTTGGGTGCTACTTATGTGATTCTATATGTTTTTGAATTTATATCTGTCCACTATAAATAAATCTGTTCTATTTCCTATAATAATTTGAAATTGAGGGCTGTAGAGGGGACAGATTCACTGTATCCTTATGATTAGCATACTTTTTAGACCCTACAGTGAAATTTAATTAAAAATTGATTCGAATCAAAATAATTAGATTAAATTGATTAAATTAAGTGTAATTAACTAAACTTAAGCATGATTAATTAAGTTAACTTAAACGAGGGTATATATATGTAGACATGAGATTAAGCTCATTCTTGAGCTCAAAAATCAACCAAGAAAAGTTGAGAGAGCCATTCTACAGAGAGACAGAAAGAGAGAGAGAGATCATCTTTGAAGATTTCCTCAAGGGTATTAAGAATTATGTAGAATAGCTCAATAATCTACCAATACAAGTGATAATCAAAGCTCTACGTAAGTAATTGAACTCTAATTCATAAGTTTAAGTCCATAATTATGTGAATTCAAAAAGAGTATGTAAATAAATGCAAGAATTGAGTTGAATATGTGGAGATTAGGATCAATATGTGCATGCATGTGTAAATTTGTTATAATTCCTCATATTTGGGCATGAAACATGATAATCAAGTTAAATTGAGAGTAATGTAACGCATGCATTCATGAATCATGGGGTCATGAGACTTAGTTGCATGTTTGAAAGATGATTAAACAAGAATTCAATCTAGATCATATATGTATGAAAGTTTTGAGTCTCATTTTGACAAATTGATGAAATTTTGGATATGAAAGATGTGATTAATCAAGTATTAATGTTCACTTACATGTTTTCAAGCTTTCGGACAAGACATGCATGAATTTGGAGCCTTGGAGTTGTATTTGAAGCTCAAACACAATTCTGGAAATTCCATAATTCGAGCAGTTTGCTTGAGCGATGGAAGTGTCGCTCGAGCAAACATTTCACGCTCTTAGTAGTTTTGCAGACAATTGCACAGTGGCTCGAGCGACCGATTGTGCGCTTAAGCAAACATCCTTTTTCTCAGTACTTGGCTTAAGCGACTGTTGAGCAACTGTCAGGCGTAAAAATTGAGCATCCAATATATTTGTAGACCAAAGGGTTCACTCGAGCGACCAATGTTGCGCTCAAGTGAAGTGCCCTGTTTCAGGGAATTTTGAAAAGTTGTTTTATGTTCCAATTTTCATTTGCTTTCATTTCTGAGTATTCCTAGCAACACATTGAGCATTGTAAATGAATTAAAGAACTAGAAAGAAGCCTAAGAAAATTAAGCAAACTAAGGAACAGACTGAATTGTATTATGACCCAATGTGTTGTGAATTTTGTAGGGTCAACTGCAAGGACGATTCAGCTATCTGACCACAATAGTAATATCTTAGTAAAGATATTTTACTTATACTCTATTTTCTGATTGTTCACATGTGGTAAGCTTTTTTGAACCTATGATTTGACAAGTGTGAATGAGTTACCATCTTTTGTCTGACCGATATACTAACAATGTGATATAAACAAGAGTATTATCTATACAAGTGAATGACTGATATGATATGACTAGATCTCTGATAACACTGAATGACTGATATGATATGACTAGATCTTTGATAACACTGAATGACTGATATGATATGACTGAATCACTAATAAGACTAAATCACTGATATGATATGACTGAATCTCTGATAAGACTGAATGATTGATATGCAATTGCAAAATTGAATGGCCATTATATATTGTAAATGCTTAGACCTAAGGTCGTACTGATAAGAGATGATTGAATTCGATCGGTGAGTCCGTTAACTATTGGACCTGAGGTCATACTAGACACTGTTGGGCCCAAGGCTGTTCTGTTGAGTAATGATTGAACTCATACTGTATATTCTGTTATCTTCTGGACCTAACGTCATTCTATCGCATGTTGGACCCAAGGTCCTTCTGATGTAAAATTGATTAAATATGTGTATCTGTTAAAAAGGGACTCATTCACTCAACCCCTTTACTTCAATATTATTTATTAGGTGTTTGCTCACTCTTTATTTATATGTATGTAGATGAGCAGCGGGATGTCCAGCCTCAACCCTAGTGAACCCATTAAGGATATCAGATACCATGGAGTCTACTATGGACGCCTCCTGTGTGAAGCTTTGTTTATGACTTTTTTTCTTTGTTTACTTTTGTTGTCCCATACGACTAAGTCTGTATCTAAGTATATAACTTAGTCTCTGTTAAGACTATTTCTAAAATGATCTTGGTTATATGCATATTTATATTGACTGTATGGTGTGAGTTATTAATATAATGTGCAAAGTTTGTTTTTTTTTTTTTTTTTTTTTTAATTTTTTTTTTTTTTTTTTTTTTTTTTTTTTTTTTGTAATGCCATATATGCACAGCTCATTGACAAAATTTCTAATTCTGCTTCCGCATCTGGCCCTTTATTAATATTAAATATGATTGATTTCTGTCTAAAGCCGTAGGTAATCTCATGATTACTGGCCGGTTATGATCCTAACCTATAGGGCGGGTTCATGTCGTGATAGAGTGGTATTAGAGGATGAGTTGATAACTCGCATACTTGTCCAAGTGAGCAATAGAGTGTCTAGAAAAGACTTATGTTGCATTCAAATGATAAATATGTACTGAAATGCATTAAGAATATGCTAAAGTGTTTTGAAATATGTGACTACATGACATATGAATTGTTGCCTATCTGTATATGCGTCCTCTTTCTATCTATGTACATCATGTACATTGTTTTTGTATAAAATGTAATATAAGTCTAATCAGATAATGGTGAGAACAAGATCCGATGAAATAGAAGAATCTTCTACTGTCAAACTTGATAGAATAGAAAGACTGATACAGGACATAGCAAAAACACTAAGGCAACGACAACAATGGCAACATCAATGGTAACAGCTACCACCCACATCTCTAGTACAACCTGCGCACGACTTACAAATTATGATGACCAGACAATAGCTCTCACCAAAGAGTTTAAGAAAAAGCCACAATTGTTTCATGAGGGTGTGGACCAATTGAAGGCTGAAGCTTGGGTCCTTAGTATTGAAAAGTCGTTTGAAGTATTCCCATGCGTTGAAACACATAAAGTACAGTTGGCCACCTTTACACTGGAGAATGAAGCAAGAAGGTGGTGGGAGTTGATGCGTGATGACAACAAGGGCATAAACTAGACACAGTTTCTCACACTTTTTATGATAAATATTTCCCACAATGTGTCCATGATAGAAAGGTGTCTAAATTTGAGGGGTTGAAGCAAGGTAATATGACTATGGCTGAGTAAGAGGCCAAGTTTACCGAATTGGCTAGGTTTGCACCGCATATGGTCAACATCGATTATGAAAAGGCAAGAAAATTTCAGGGTACTCTTCGTAACGATATCCTGGAAAGAGTGAATGTATTGAAATTGCCTACTTATGTTGATATGCTAGACCCAGCTTTAATGTCAGAAACTAATATGGCCAATCAAAATAAACCATCTAAATGGAAAAGTAAGAGGCAAGGCTTCTTTCCGAAGAAGAAGATGTTTAAAAAGCAAAATATGGGTTCATTGAGTTCTAGCTCTTCAAGGGACTCTGCACCAACATGTAACATCTGTGATAGAAAGCATCTGGGAGTTTGTTACCACACATCTGGGGCATGTTTTCTTTGTGGAAAAACTGGGCATATGGTTAAAGACTATCCTCAGAGTGACCAAAGAGGTGGAAGGCCATCTGCTAGCTCGACTGGATCTATTCCTGTACCAAGGAACATTGTGAGACCTACTATTACCAGAGACACAATGAGGCATGGGAAAGTCTTTGCGCTCATCCCAGGTGACACACAAAATACTGAAGTCGTCGTCTCAGGTACTATCACTATATGTAGTCAAGATGCTTTTGTGTTAATTGATTCTGGATCATCACATTCCTTTGTGTCTACTACATATGCATCTAGATTGAATAGACCCGTAGAATCATTGCCTTAATTGTTGTGTATATCTGCTGCATCTAGGGAGTCGGTGTTGTGTACGTCGTATATCATTTTTGCAATATGCATATTGGGAGTGTGACTTTATATGTGGATTTGTTGCCTTTGGATATTAGACACTTTAATGTAATTCGGGGAGTGGATTGGCTGTCTAAATATTGTGCCACCATTGATTGTGTAACAAAACAAGATATATTTAGACCTCCAGGACATGATGAGTTTATATTTATGGGTAATGGAGTAGTACCTCCACCTTATCTGATTTCAGCAAGGAAGGCATGTAAACTGCTCAGGAAAAGGTGTCACGGTTATCTGTGTAGTGTGATGACTGAACAATCCATGAATGTTGAACTAGACAGTATTCCCATTGTTAGAGAATTTCCAAATATATTCCCGATTGGATTGCTAAGGGAATTGGTTGACAGGGAGATAAAGTTTACTATTGATATTGTATCGGGCACTCAGCCTATTTCGAAAAATCCTTACGGAATACCAACTATTGAAATGAAAGAATTGAAAGAACAGTTGCAAGACTTGCTTGACAAGGGTTTCATTAGACCGAGTATTTCGCCCAAGGGAGCACCTGTATTATTTGTAAAGAAGAAAGACGGGACCTTACAATTATGTATTGACTATCAGGAATTGAACAAGGTAACAATCAAAAATAAATACCCTTAGCCCCATATTGACGATTTGTTTGATCAGTTGTAGGGATCACAAGTGTTTTCAAAAATTGATCTGACATCCGAGTATCACCAATTAAAGGTAAAAGCAGAAGATGTTGAGAAAACCGCATTTCGGACATGGTAGGGTCACTATGAATTTCTTGTTATGCCCTTTGGAGTGACTAATGCACCTGCAGCGTTCATGGACCTTATGAATCAAATTTTTAAGTCTTATCTTGATGAGTTTGTTGTAGTCTTTATTGATGACATCTTGATATACTCAAAAAGTAGGATTGATCATGAGCAACATTAGAGAACTATATTGCAAACCTTTAAAGAAAAGATGTTGTATGCTAAATTAAAGAAATGTGAATTCTGGATGGATGTGGTTGTGTTTTTGGGCCATGTTATCAACAAAGATGGGATTTCAGTAGACCCACAGAAGATGGAGGCAATTGTGAAGTGGCCTACACCAAAAAATGTAACGGAAGTCTACAGTTTCATGGGTTTAGTTGGGTACTATAGACGGTTTGCGAAAGATTTTTCAAAAATAGATGTGCCTCTTACTCAACTTATGCACAAATGACAACCGTTTGAATGGAGTGACGAAAGAGAATCTGCCGTACAAGAACTGAAAACAAGATTAACTACTGCAGCAGTGTTGATACTTTCTTCAGGAATAGAAAATTTTGTGATTTTTAGTGATGCATCTTACAAGTGTTTGGGTTGTGTGTTAATGCAGAATGGAAAGGCAATTGCTTATGTCTCCTGATAATTGAGACCACATGAAAAGAACTACCCGATGCACGACCAGGAATTGGCCATAGTAGTGTTCGCTTTGAAAATTTGGTGGCATTACCTGTACAGGGAAAAATGTGAACTTTATATCAATCACAAAAGCTTGAAGTACTTATTTACCCAAAAAGAATTAAACATACGATAGAGAAGATGGCTTGAGTTAATAAAAGGCTATGACCTCCAAATTTAGTATCACCCGGGGAAAGCCAATATAGTTACTGATGCCTTAAGTAGAAAATCAACGTGGAACTTGGCTTCCCTACTTACTGAACAGAAGGAAATCCTGCAAGACTCAGAAGTCTGACATTGAAATAATGTTACATGAGCAAAGTGGGTTGATAGTTGCCATTATAGCTCAACCGACAATTATTGACGAAACCAAACTGAGGCAAAGAGATGATGAATTCCTCAAGAAGATGATTGATGAAATTGAAGTGAATCTGAAATCGGGGCATAGTATTGAAAATGAAGCGTTGAAATTCCAAAACGAATTGTGTGTTTCGAACATCCCTAAGTTAAAGAAGAGAATTCTAGATGAAGCTCACAAGTCAATGTTTGCAATGCATCCGGGAAATAACAAGATGTATTGAGACTTGAAATAGAGCTACTGGTGGCCAAATATGAAGCGTGAAATTGCAGAGTATGTGTCTAAATGTCTTCACTGCCAGCAAGTTAAAGCCGAACATCAATAGCCAGCAAGACTACTTCAACCACTCCTTATTCCGGAATGGAAGTGGGAGCATATAACCATGGACTTTGTTGTTGGCCTACCTCGAACACCTAAAAGTATGGACTCTATTTAGGTTATAGTTGATAGACTGACCAAATCTGCACATTTTCTGCTTGTGAGAACTACTTTTGATGCATATAGATTAGCTACTATATATGCTGATGACATTGTTCGTTTGCATGGAATTCTGGTATCTATTGTGTCGGGTAGAGATTCGAAATTTATATCAAGATTCTGGAGAAGCCTACAGAGAGCAATGGGAACAGAATTGAGACTTAGTATTGCCTTCCATTCGCAAACTAATGGATAGTCAGAACAGACTATACAAACTTTGGAAGATATGCTCATAATGTTTTCAGGAGAGTTGGGAAGATTACTTACCATTAGCAGAATTTGCATATAATAACAGCTACCACTCCAGCATTGGTATGGCATCATATGAAGCCTTATACGGTAGAAGATGTAGATCACCAGTCTGTTGGATAGAAGTCAGGGATAGAGTCTTGCTTGGGCCTAAAATTGTGCAAACCACCACCGAAAAGATCAAAGTTATTCAACAAAGGCTCAAGACAGCACAGAGTAAAGAAAAGAACTTCGCGGATGTTAAAAGAAGGCCGCTTGAATATGAAGTTGGCGACCGTGTGTTCATCCGTGTAATTCCAATGAAGGGCCAGTCAAGATTTGGCAAGAAGGGTAAGTTGTCACCTCGTTACATTGGGTATTTTCAAATTATAGAGAGACTTGGCCTAGTTGCCTACAGAGTTGCTTTATCGCCAGGACTAGATCAAATGAACAACGTATTCCACATGTCAATATTAATGGGCTATTTCCAAGATTTGTTTCATGTTATAGACTATCACCAGATAGCACTTGACGAGAATATAAAATATGAAGAGTGGCCAAAACAGATCATTGACCAACAAATGAAACAATTGAGAAACAAATCAATCCCAATGGTAAAAGTGGAATGGAAAGAGGATTACAGAAGGGAAGCTACATGGGAAAAAGAAGATTAGATGCAACAATGCTATCCATATTTATTTCCAAACAGAGGTAACATAAGTTTGTAGGACCAAACTTCCTAAAGAGGGGAGGAATGCGATAACCTTGTTCTGTGTTATACTGTTAACCTTAAATTATGATTTTGATTATGTGCTTAATATGAATTTGGGTGCTTCTTATGTGATTATATGTGTTTTTTAATTTATATATGTCCATCGTAGAGAAATATATTCTATTTCCTGTTATAATTTGAAATTGAGGATCGCCGCATCTTTATGATTAGCATACTTTTTAGAGCCTACGATGAAATTTAATTAAAAATTGATTTGGATCAAAATAATTAGATTAAATTGATTAAATTAAGTTTTAATTAACTTAACTTAAGCATGATTAATTAACTTAACTTAAACAATGGTATATATATGTAGAGACATGAGATTAAGCTCATTCTTGAGCTCAACAATCAGCCAAATAAAGTTGAGAGAGCCATTCTACAAACACACACACACACACACACAGATCATCACTGAAGATTTGCTCAAGGGAATTGAGAATTGTGTAATAGCTCAAGAATCTACTAATACAAGTGATAATCAAAGCTCTAGGTAAGTAATTGAACTCTAATTCATGAGTTTAAGTCCATAATTATGTGAATTCAAAAAGAGTATGTAAATAAATGCAAGAATTGAATACGTGGAGATTAGGATCAATATGTGCATGCATGTGTAAATTTGTTATAATTCCTCATATTTCGGCATGAAACATGATAATCATGTCAAATTGAGAGTTATGCAACACATGCATTCGTGAATCATGGGGTTATGAGACTTAGTTTCATGTTTTGAAGATGATTAAACAAGAATTCAAGTTAGATCATACATGCATGAAAGTTTTGAGTCTCATTTTGACAAATTGATGAAGTTTCGGTTATGGAAGATGTGATTCATCATGTACTAATGTTCAATTACATGTTTTCAAGCTTTTGGACAAGACATGTATGAATTTGGAGCCTTGGAGTTGTGTTTGAAGATCAACTACAATTCTGGAAATTCCAGAATTTGAGCAGTTCGCTCGAGCAATGGAAGTGTTGCTCGAGCGTACATGTCAAGCTCCAGTAGTTTTGCAGACAATTGCATAGTGGCTCGAGGCGTACATGTCAAGCTCCAGTAGTTTTGCAGACAATTGCATAGTGGCTCGAGTGACTGATTGTGTGCTTGAGCAAACATCCTTTTTTTCAGTACTTGGCTCAAGTGACCGTCGAGCTTGAAAATTGAGCATCCAGTACTTTTGTAGACTAAGAGGTTCGCTTGAGCGACTAATGTTATGCTCGAGCGAAGTTCCCTGTTTCAAAAAATTTTGAAAATTTGATTTATGTTCCAATTTCCGTTCTTTTTCATTTCTGAGCATTCTTAGGCATACATTGAGCATTCTAAATGAATTAAAGAACTAGAAACAAGCCTAAGAAAATTAAGCAAACTGAGGAACACATTGAATTGTATTATGACCCAATGTGTTATGAATTATATAGGGTCAACTATAAAGACGATTCAGCCATCTGACCACAGTGAGTAATATCTTTAAAAAGATATTTTACTTATACTCTTTTTCTTGATTGTTTACATGTGGTAAGCATTTATGAACCTAGGATTTGATAAAAGTGAATGAGGTGTGAATGAGTTACCATCTTTTGTCTGAACGATATACTAACAATGTGATATTAACAAGCGTATTATCTGTACAAGTGAATGACTGATATGATATGACTGGATCTCTAATAAGACTGAATGACTGATATGATATGACTGAATCACTGATAAGACTGAACGATTAATATGATATGACTGAATCTCTGATAAGATTGAGTGACTGATTTGCAATTATAAAATTGAATGGCCATTATATACTGTATAGCCATTATATACTGTAAATTCTTGGACCCAAGGTCATACTGATAAGGGATGACTGAATTCGATCGGTGAGTCTATTAATTGTTGGACCTGAGGTCATACTGTACACTATTGGGCCCAAGGCTGCCCTGCTGAGTAATGATTGAACTCGTACTGTATATTATGCTATCTCTTAATGTCGTTCCGTCGCATGTTGGACCCAAGGTCGTTATGATGTAAAATGCTTACTGATTATATATGCGCATTGATTAAATATGCTTATTGTAGACGCGCCCGCGGGCCTCATGCTACAGTTCAGACTCTCGATTTGTGTCACGGTTCTTAATCTGAACCAAAGAGTCCAAATCTGGCAAATCGTTTTGAGAAACAGATTTTTGAAAAAGTAGTGCCAAACATGGACTGCTTTGCCAGATACAGAGTCGCCACCTAAATATTTTAAAATGGGAAAATTTAGGAAACCCTGACTCGGTGCCGAAGGCCACATGTCCGTCATCACCGGAGTTGTCTCGGCTCGGGAGCTTGGGTACGATCGGGGAAGGTCAGCTATGAGCACCCCCTGGACTAAGTCTGTATCTAAGTATATAAATTAGTATTTTGGATATATGTATATCTATATGGACTATATGGTGAGAGTTATTAATATAATGTGCAAAAGTTTTTTTTTTTTTTTGTAATGCCACATATGCATAGCTCATTGGACAAAATTTCTAACTATAGGGGTGAGAGCAGAGGAGCAGGGAGTGCGCCTTTGAGGAGCAGACTCAGTCAAAGCGTGTTCCTAAACTCTAGGCCAAACTAACTCCTAAAATGTCGTGAATAACGGAACACGATCCCTAGAGAAAAGGGGTTAAAGTAAGGAGTGGGAGGAGGGTTAACAACCCACAATGGCTACTAGAAGCAGAGTATAAATAAATATAGCCTCCATGGTTAGGGTATACAATCACTCCTACTTGAAAATATCCTCAAACATTATGTTTCTTTGTCTACTTGTTCACCAACTTAAGCATCAAAGAGTCCCCAGGCTACTCCCCCGCCAGACCCTTCATCTTTTGTAAAAGTGTTTCAGGTTCACGAGAGTCCATCAGCCGCCAAGGCTCCACCTCAGTCTAGTGGTTCAATTTTTGCCCGTACATAAATGTATTTGGTTAGTGTGAGAATGATGAAAAATGTAAAGAATTTAAATATTTTGCACAACTCGTATCAAACACATTAGCTAGGTTTTCAATTTCTTCAAAACAATTTTTTGGGTGAAAGTAACCAATTAAATGGATAGAAAAATAAATAAATAAACAAAAATTCACTTTGCTCTATTTCACAAGTTTTTTTTATTTTTTATTTTAATATTCTTAAAAAAAAATCTAGAGAATTGACCAACTTTTAAAACTATTTGGGAAACTAATCCACTTTTGAAATTGCATTTTGAACATGCACTTTCAAATTCAAATCGCATTTTCAACATGCAATTTCAACTTGAAGTTGCATGTTCAAAATGCGATTTCAAGTCTACATTTCAAGTCCACATGGACAATGACTCGCTGATGTGACAAGTTGAAATTGCATTTTGAAAATGCATTTTCAACTACTTGCAATTTCAATATAAACTCGCATTTTGAAAATGCTATTTCAAGTTGATAGTTTTCAAATTTTAAGTTGGCAGTCTTCTGTTGCGCTGACATTGCAGGTTGAAGTTGCATTTTCAACATGCAATTTCAATATAAACTCTCATTTTGAAAATGCGATTTCAAATTTTCACAATTACAAAACCCATTCTAAAAATGACAATTAAAATTGAAATTTAAAGGTTTATTAGTTGCTCCCCACTCATCAGCAAATGTGAACCCTGCAAGGAAAAATATGGGTCTCCTCACCAACTAGCAATCAAACACTAGAGAACAATATGAAGCATTAAAAAGACAATTTCAACGATGTTCTAGGACCGTAAATGAAACCAATGAATGGTAATAAGCTGATTTGTCATCTTTAGGACTACACTAGAACCATTAAAGAGCAGTTTGGCTTGAAAAATAACATATCTAACTAAAGAACAGGGATCAAGGTCTGGATGCAAGAATTCAAAAATGTGTTATATCACCACTAGTTAATTTTCATCCTTTCATTTTTTAATTGAAAAATACTTAATTTTCATCAATAATTTTTTTAGTTATATGGATGAAAAAATAATATTGTCGTCCTTTTTAAACAAAATTGTATATTTTACGGTATTTATTTTGTACTTACACAATATTTGCATTAGTTTCGATCTATAGGCTTAATGTATTTGTTTTGGAATTTCACATCGTTGGTAACAACTATGTCAATTGCAACTCTCTGAAACTATCTACATAAAACTATAACTATGTCAACTGTAATGTTTACCACTTGCTTTATTTTACTCATAAAAATATAAATGTTATAACGCATTTTTATATTAAGAAATATGATACGACATACAACATAAATTAAGATTGATAACATTACATTCAATATTGAATACAACACATGGTACAATCGATTTGGATAATCATTAGTTATGTGACCCACCACTTGAGGCTGTTACATTGCTATTTGGACATCTCCTCCAATTATGACCTTGTTGCCCACACAATCCACAATTTTGTTTGGTTTGAGACTCGCACCAATCCATAGAATTTTGAAGTCGTGTTGTCCTTGGACGACCACGAGTCCTAGCAAGGTTCAGATTAGGATGAATTTTTGGAAAGTTAGGCTCTCGCCAATAAGCAGCATCAACTATAGGATTGAATGAGTGTTGATAACATGTCATTTGTGCTTTCAGTGTGTAACATTCATCAACATATTATAGGTGGCCAAGGCTGCAAATTTACATACTGCAATGACATGAAAACATGGAATTTTATAATTCTGCCATTTTTGACAGTCACATGTTCTTTCCATCAAGTTGACCATATGAAGATGCAAACCCCGATTCGAATATAAGGGGTTCACAGCAGTTTGAACATCAAAAATACCCAAATTCATATTGAAACTCCGCACTAAATGACCCTTGGACTTTTTCTCCCATTTGGTGAGCATCTATTTTGCATAAGCACTATAAACCTCACTAGCGTGCATTTCAACATTAGCCTTGTTACATCGTTCTTGAAAATAACTAACACATTTATAAAAAGTTAGTTATGCCAATGATGTGATAGAAAGATGTCGTGCACCCTTTAATACTCCATTGAAGCTTTCAGAAAGGTTGGTAGTCATAGCTCCATAATGTTTGCCACCATCATGTGCTAACACCCACAGTTCAAGTGGCACATGATCAAGTTCATCTACAACTTTGGAATTTAAGTCTCTTATTGACTTCATTTTCTAATCAAACTTCTTTTGATTCTCATAAGCTGCCGAAGTGATCATGTCTCGCAATATTGCATTGTTGTACTTTTTATGGTAGTTACTGGCAAGATGGCAAATGCAGTAGCGATGATAATCATTTGGGTGTTTCCACCAACGTAAGCAATTCACAGATGATAACATTCCTCCATGTTTGTCAGATAAAGGATAGAGGCTAGTCCGTTATGTCACGTACTCCCTAATGCATGTTTAAGACCATAACCAAGTATCCAGTCTCTCCTCCTCCATAATGGCAAAGGTAGCTGAAAATACATGATTATTTGCATCCCATGAAACTACAATTAGTAACTTACCTTTATATTTTCTAGTTAGAAAGGTTCCATCTACACTGATGACTGGCCTGTAATGTTTGAAACCCTCGATAGAAGAACTGAATATATAACGTTATTTGTAGTATCTGACGGCATTGTTTTCCATGAAACGATAGTTCTTAGATTAGAATCCATCACGGCCATCATCCATTTTGGTAAGATGTGGTATGATTCATTCCAATCCCCAAAGATATTTGTAATGCCTTATTTGCTTTGCATTCCAAGCCTTATTATAAGATGGTAAGAAACCATAAACTTTTGGCTAATGCTGGTTGTCAATACAGAGATCTTGATTAATGGATCCACCTTTATAAGCTCTCGCACTTCGTGCTCAATTAATTTTGTGCTCAACATTGCATGATCTTGTGTAAGCGTTACAGATACACATGTATGAGGTCCTTCATATTTAGTAATCTCAAATAAACGATGTTTGACATGCTTACATGCTCTAAGCTTCCACTCGCACCCATTTTTGTAACGCAATTTCCACAAGTCTGTTGTTAGCACCACTACATGGTAAGTGTTTCTCATCATCTCATAAAGGTTTACTACAATTTGTAAGTCTTCCTTGTTTCGAAACAATAGCCCTTTGCTTAACTCCTTTGTTATATCCCATATACGAGTGACATCAACTGTCAACGGTATGGAGGGATAATTAACATTTGACCATGTATCTTTAGTAAACATTGGAGATGGGGCTTGGTGAAAAGCAAGTGTGTTTGTTTGTCCTCCTTCAGTTGATAGACCAACTCCTTTATTAGCATCATCGTCTTCAGGATCCAAACCATCATCTGCTAGGACGTGGATTCCATTTGCAAGCATTTCTTGTATAACATATGTGGTTGTTTCACACCATTCATTGGTGGACCGTGGTTGAATATCTTCTACCCTATTAAAGTTAATGCCGGTAGGTAAAATATAGGCAGGTTCGAAATGACCACCATGGGAGTCATGACCGGATGATGCAAAGTAGGTTTGAAGTGATGGTCATGTGTATTGATTGGGGAATACACATCTATGGGAGTCTGTTCACTTGTACCTACTTGCACATCAACATTAACATTAGTATAAGGAAAAATATTGATGGTATAACACCCCAAAAGATTTAATTAATTTTAACACCGCAAATAAAAAAGAAATTGTTGCGACGCCAAACCTCTGGGTATCAGGTTTGGGTCCTGACAGATAGGTTTCACAGTGATATATAACTCAGCAATGTTGTAACCAGGAGTTGAGTCAATTATATCAAATATACCTTCGACACCATCATCATCTGTGATCACAAGTGATGTGTAGTAGACAACATGAGGGTAATTTCTAGATGGAAGTTTATATGTAATTAGGACATTCCCACCATTGTGGTCTATCCCTGTAGCTTCGATTAATCGATTGTGAAGATCGATAAACAAAATATTTCGGTTAACTCATATCCATTTTGGATTAGGATCCTCGTATGCAATGCCACACTCATCATTAATTATTCCACCATTATAGTATATTGCAAGATTGTATCGTTCTTTTGCCATTGAAACTGGAAAAAAAATTAAAAAAAATCATCAAACACAAAACGTTATTGAAGAATATAACCCTTAATTAGCATAAAAAAATAAAAATAAATGATTTTGTGTTAAATGAATATTTTACCTATGTAATCTTCATGAAAAAGATTCTTGGAAACTTTATTTCTTGAAAGGTTGAAATATAGTATTTGTAGAAGGAAAATGTTGAAATTATGGAAGATTGAATAGATAAAGAGTTTGAGTTTGGCATGTTTTGGTTCACCATTGTTTTGAGGAGTTATATAAGAAATAAAAGAAAAATTCTTACGATTTGACATTGACAAGAACCTTGCATGTTACCAATGAAGTCACATGTTGAGAATCTGATTTCAGTGTTGCATAATTTTATTTTATTTTTACATTTTCACGATTTGACATTGACAAGAATCTTGCATATTACCAATGAAATCGCATGTTGAAAATGCAATTTCAAATGAAGTTGCATTTTGAACATGCTATTTCAAGTGTGTCACTCAATGTTATCACTGCTGCAACATAAAAATAATAAAAAGGAAAAAGTACAATACAATGGGACTAAAAAAAAATTATAAAACATAGTGAACATAAAAAGAAAAATTACTGCAAACACCGTACTTCTAATCGTACTTCAAATCGTTGTAGTAGTCACGAGATTGAAATTGATGGCAGGTGAACTCGCACATTAAGAGTACGATTTCAAGAGAAGTTGCATTTTGAACATGCGATTTCAAGAGAAGTTGCATTTTGAACATGCGATTTCAATTGAAGTTGCATTTTGAACATGATATTTCAATGAGTGCAACTGCAAACAACGTACTTGAAATCATACTTGAAATCCACGGGACTGTTGAAATCGCATGTTGAGAATTAATACAATTTCAAGAGATGTCCAAATAGAAATGTAACAGTCTCAAGTAGTGGGTCACATAACTAATGATTATCCAAATTGATTGTACCATCTATTGTATTTCACTATTGAATGTAATGTTATCAATCTTAAGTTATGTTGTATGTCATATCATATTTCTTAATACAAAAATGTGTTATAACATTTACATTTTTATGAGTAAAATGAAATAAATGATAAACATTACAATTGACATAGTTGTAATTTTATGTAGCTAGTTGATTCAGAGAGTTGTCATTTGACATAGTTGTCACCAACGATGTGAAATTTCAAAACAAATACATTAAACCTCACATTTTCCATATAGTGACGCTAACCTCCCTTTTAGTAAAGTTAAATAGACCGAAACTAATGCAAATATCGTGTAAGTACAAAATAAATATCGTAAAATATACAATTTTGTTTAAAAATGATGACAATATTATTTTTTCATCCATATAACTAAAAAAAAACTATTGATGAAAATGAAGTATTATTCAATTAGAAAACAAAAGGATGAAAATTAACTAGTGGTGATATGACACATTTTTGAATTCTTGCATCCATACCTTAATCTCTGTTCTTTGGTTAGATATGATATTTTTCAAGCCAAACTACTCTTTAATTGTTCTAGTATAGTCCCAAAGATGACAAATCAACTTATTACCATTCATTGGTTTCATTTACAATCCTAGAACAACGTTGAAATTGTCTTTTTAATGCTTCATATTGTTCTCTAGTGTTTGATTGCTAGCTGGTGAGGAGACCCTTATTCTTTCTTGCAAGGCTCACATTTGCTGATGAGTAGGAAGCAACTAATAAACCTTTGAATTTCAATTTTAAATGTTATTTTCAGAATGGATTTTGTAATTGTGAAAATTTGAAATCGCATTTTCAAAATGAGTGTTTATATTAAAATTGCATGTTGAAAATGCAACTTCAACCTGCTACGTCAGTGCTACAGAAAACTGTCAACTTGAAATCGCATTTTCAAAATGCGAGTTTATATTGAAATTGCATTTAGCTGAAATTGTATTTTTAACATGCAATTTCAACTTGTCACATTAGCGAGTCGTTATCCATGTAGACTTGAAATTGCATTTTGAACATACAATGTCAAGTTGAAATTACATATTGAAAATGCAATTTCAATTTGAAAGTGTATGGTCAAAATGAGATTTTAAAAGTAGGTTAATTTCTTAAATAGTTAGAAAAGTTGGTCAATTCTCTAAATTGTTTATTTTTTTTTAGAATATTGAAAAAAAAAAAACTCCTATTTCACTTCACTTTCTATTATTTTTATTTCAAATTAATTTTTTTTAAATCAAATTTAACCTTTATGTCTAATAATAATAATAAAATCTCACAAAAAAATTCGTTTGGGCAATATTTTCCTATTCTCTCTCTATATAAATATGTATTAATTGTTTGCGTCACCAAATGGTCCCACGGCACATGCTTTCAAATGCCCTTTTGGAAAGGGAGGGCTCGTTTTAGATAGTGAGGCACCGTTTGGGAAGCAAGTTTATGGGTTTTTTTGGTTATTTTAGTCATAAAAGATAAAATAAGCTATTTAGTCATAACAAACAAAACATCACATTTAATTCATAATCATTACACTTTTCTCTCATAAAAAAAGTCAAAAAAGTCAAAAAGCCAAAAAGTCCTTCCCAAACCAAGCTTTTAGCCCAGACTAAAATAGCCAAAAAAGCCAAAAAGCCAAAAAGTCAATCCACTTTCCAAACGGAGGTTCATAGTAATGAATTGAATTGAAATGATTATTTATTAAAATATTTGTTTTTATATTTAATTAAATTAAAAATAATAATAATAAATATATTACAAATAAAATCATCACTTATTATTGTAATAGAATGATTATTTTATTTTATTTCATTTAATTCTAATAAACAAAAAAAAAGTATTATTCATTGTGTTTGGTTTGAGTTTTTTGGATTAAGTTTTTTGAAAACTGAGTTTTTTTATTTTCGTATTTTTTTACTTTTAGTGTATATTTTTAAAATTTTAAACATTTTTTTTACTTTTTTAGATGCACCTTACTTAGATGTGTCTAAAAAGTGAAAAAATTTTGAAAAAATATTTTAAAAAATTAAGAAATACATAAAAATACAAAAAATGTACTAAATTTTTATATTTTTTTATATTTTTGGTATTTAGTAAATTTTTAAAAGATTTTTTTTATAATATTTTTACTTTTTAGGTGTATTAATGTTAGGTGTGTCTAAAAAATAAAAAATTTATATAAAATATTTAAAAAATTCAATAAAAATAAAAAAATACAAAAAATAAAAGTTAAAACTGTTTTTAAAAAATAGAAACCAAACAATGTGATTGATTTTTAAGTTTATAAATTCAAATTTCAGTCACGTTGGTTTTTGATAGTGATGGGAGCCTACGAAAGTTACAGACACAGAGGCCTATTAGCTTTTTAAACATCATATTATTATAAAGGAAAATGAGTAAGAGCACTAATTAGTGTTACCACTAATGATGTGGTAGTGGATTCTATCATGAATGATTTGATATTTTGGCCTTGGTGTTGTATTTTTTTTTTTTTTATTGAGTGCATGTCATTAGTGATCTTTTTAGAACTCCAAAATTAGTGGTCTCTATCATTATTGTATTATAAAACGGAGCTGCTGCAGAGTTCTAATTAGAGCTGCTGCAGTATAGCTCTAATGAGTTGTCTATAAATAAAAAAAATTAAAAAAAAGATAGTGAAGTAGGAGACAAAAAAAAAAGAAAAGAAAAAGGCAAATTAAAACTCTTTTAAAATTCTTTTTTTTACAAGTCTAGATCATTCTTCTATTATAAAAACATTTCCAGTGCTACAGAGAGGATGACAATAAACTATGAACCACATTCCTGAGGACTGAGTTGACAACCGCCACTCACAACTCACAGACCCACTTGAGAGAGAGAGAGAGAGAGAGAGGGAGGGAAGGGGAGGGGGTGTTTCTTAGGTGTTTTTGGAGATGGGGAGAAGCCCTTGTTGCGCGAAGGAGGGGTTGAACAGAGGTGCATGGACTGCTGCAGAAGACCAAATTCTGACTGACTACATTAAGGTTTATGGTGAAGGCAGATGGAGAAATCTTCCCAAGAAAGCAGGTGAGTTTCACAATTATTCAATATATACCAAATTATTTGAAATTAAAAAGCTTCGCAGCAGCCATTAGGTTCCTCTATGCAGTGTTTTGTTGATGGATTTAAAGAGGGCTTTGAAAAGGGAAAAAAGAAAAGTTGTGTGAAATTAAAGGGTTGTTTGTGATGTCTTAAATAAGTGTATTTTTTATCTTTTTAGATTAAAAAATTGAGGAGAAAAATATGAATGTTTGGATTAATTTTTTGACTTTTTATGAAAAAATGTGTATTAAAAAATTGTAAAAATTAGTTTTTAGAAGAAAATTAGGAGTGAGAGTTGTACAGTCGTAATTGTTGACTTTTGATGAATAGTGTTAACTTTTTAACTTTTTGAGTAACTTTTTGACTTTTTGACTTTTTCTCAATATCCCAAACTTGGCTTAAATGAAATATAAGTATGTTTTGTTCATATTTCACCTATCTTTTTTATTTCTCTTTTCAAATCCTTCCTCAAATTTCCCAACCAAACACAACATTACTATATTTAATGCAAAAATAAGAGGGAAATGAGATGCGGGTTCTTCTGTACGTACATTCCTTTTGGATTTTTATTTTTATTTTTTTTATAGTATTTTTTTCTTCTCATTATTAGTTCTTGAAATAACAAGAAATGGTTCTCTGGTAGGTCTAAAGAGATGTGGAAAGAGTTGTAGGCTGCGCTGGTTGAATTATCTAAGGCCAGATATCAAGAGAGGGAACATATCCCATGATGAGGAAGAGCTTATCATTAGGCTTCACAAGCTCTTGGGGAACAGGTCCTTCCTTCTTTCTGTTTCTATATCTATAATATATAATACATACACACACGATCTTACCTCTTTTTTCTTCTTGTTGCGGAGTCAGTAGATGATTGACTTGCTCTGCCAATTTAATTGAGATGGCTGAGTCTAGCTGTAATGCTTTTTGTTCCCCTCCCTCCGTTTTCATCTTTATGGATACATGCCATTTGTTTTGATTTGTATAACCATCAATAAAGTGTTCATTTTTTTGCTGTTTAAAAAAAATATATATATATATACACACATAAATATAAAAAAGTCATTTCCCAAATGAGCTTTTAGAATGTTGTGTCTATGATATTTTTAAAATTATTTTAATAAGAATTGATTTTTTTTTTTTTTTTTTTTTTTATTGAAAATGAAAAGATGACAATATTTTGTATAAAAATTTTGTTTGTAAACCCTCAACCCTATAGACCTAAGAGCTGTTAATAAGTACTATAAAATGTCAAAATAATTATATTCGTAATATATTTTTCACATATTCCACCGTCCAAGTCCCAATTAAAACTAGAGTGTTGCTCTATATGGATTAACCACAATAAATTATTTACACCCAGGAGGTCTCAAAACTTGAAACCTTGTGGGAAGTACAATTTTAGGCCCTAAACCTTGACTACCAAGGCAATTCCTTGAAATTGTTTATATAGAATTTCTGGAAAATGATGTGCAATGCAATTAGTATTTTTTTTTTTTAAATATAAGTCATTCTATGTCTTTTGCTTTAAAATGGAAAAATTAAGCGTTGTCATATCATTTTATATTAATTTTGGCCCTTATTGGTGTAGTTTTTTGATATTGTTATAATTACAATTTTTTCATTTTAATTAATAATTTGTATTAAAAATTTGGTATAATTTCGATATATAACTTATTAGCTGAAATAACTTAAATAAATTAAAAAAAAAAACTAATTGATGATCTAGAAGTCAAACGAAGGGTGATTATAATTTTTTTTTTTTTCATATTATTATTATTATCAACTTTTAAGTTAGCGAAAAATTACACTAAACATCCTTTATGTACAACCTTTTTATTTATTTATTTTGTATAGCTTGTCTTTTTAACGTAATTTTGCTTTTTGAATACTGACAGATGGTCTCTAATAGCTGGGAGGCTACCAGGGCGAACAGACAATGAAATAAAGAATTACTGGAACACTAATCTAGGCAAAAAGGTCCACAATGACCACTACCGCTCCGCACCTTCAACTCGTAACAAGAACTCAAACCAGTCTGATCATGACAACAAGAACCCTAACATGGTCTCACCACCACCACCACCCAAAACCAACATGGAGTCCCACCCCAAGACTAAATCTCATGATGTGGTCCGAGCCAAAGCAATGAGATGCTCCAAGATCTTCATTACCCCTCCACCACAACCTCCACACAAACCTGACCAAACCACCGTGGAACCACCACCGCCACCACCGCCATTATTAGCAGAGCTGTCAAGTCTCTGCAATGGGTTGCTATCATCATTCACTCCCGAAGATGATCATCCGACGGACTTCATGTTGGATGTTAACATGATGAGGGATGTTTGCTTGTCGGATCTTCTGAATTCCGACCTTGCGGCCGCAGCTGCAGGACTGTACTGCGGTGGCTTCAGTTACAGCAATGACAACAACAGTACTAATGATTCTAAGGATATATTGGAGGATTGGACTGTCAACAATGGCTTTCAACCTAATGTGGGTTCGAACCACCATGGTTTCTCTTCTATTCTGGAGTCTGGAGGAGGGGATTGGCAATTTGTCTAGCCAAACACGGTCTTATTTAGATGATTGACTTGGTAATATATATAGATATATAATCCTACGCATATGTTGATATTAACTTAATGATGAAACTCTAGCAGTAATCTGATTAGGAACCTTAATTGTGGGCAGGCCATGACTAATGAGGATACGATATATTGAGATGGTGGTAGGCAACTTAAATAAGAGTCAATCTTATATAGAGAAAAGTTAGGGATTATGAAATTTTTTTTATGAAAATGATCATGAAAGAATTATGATCTTTGGATTATCTTGATTAGTGTGTGGTGTTTTATTCTAAGTGTAATCCAAGGGTCACAAAGCTTTCATGATTATTTTCATGAAAGATTTTTCATGATACCTAGCATTATTGTCTTATATATTAGCTTTTTACATTTTACTTTTAGGTTGGGGAATCTTTCCAAGAACAATAATAATAAAAATTCTGTATGTATGCCTGTCATTTGTAGTATATTACATTAAAGTTTACAGGTCAGTTTGTCGTCAACTTTTGTCGCTTTATTTATTTATTTGTTTGTTTTTTATTTTTAAATTATTTCAATGCAGTTGCCTCAATTTTAAATTTTAAAATACAAATTTTAATAATCTTTTTGTAGGTCTTTTTTCTCCATGTACATTTTTTTTGTCAATCAATAATAGATTCTCCATCTACTTCAAATAATAGATCTAAATCACGATATTAAAATACATATCGATATTATGAGTATTGATTTCTAACCTCACAATCAAATAGAGAACTTAACTGGAGAGCACGCAGAAGAATAGATTAAACCAAGCACCTGCACACAAAAAGATAAGAGAAACCACGGCGGCTTGTCCACGCGGAGACACTCCGACGATAAAATCAATAACTTATCTCAAAGATATCAACTCAATTAACAGTGAACTTAAACCCACGGGGTGCCTTATTTTTATAACCAACTCTCATCTCTTAGAAGTCTCATTTCATAGAACTTAAGCATAACACTTATCTTGGACTCTTAATTATATAAGAATGAACCCCTTAAAAGAATTATCTCTATCCGAACTAAACGCCTCAATTTATCTAGGACTCTTGTTCTCTATCCGAATATCTCGGATTCCGATATTGCTGCATCGTATCTCGGTAATATCACAACAATCTCGCCATCATAACTCGTCCACCTGGCACCTCAGCAAACATTTTGGTCACGTGGCGCGATTCTAAAAATATATCCTACAGGTATTATTAATATCAGTTTATACTTATTAGAATTCCAGCAATGCTAGGTATCATGAAAAACCTGTCATGAAAATAATTATGAAAGTTTTGTGACCTTTAAATTACACTTAGAATAAAGCACCGCACGCTAATCAATGTAATTCAATAATCATAACTTTTTCATGATCATTTTTATGAAAAAATTTTCATGATCCCTAACTTTTTTCTTAGGATTCAGGTGTTGTTTTAAATTGATTTTTTCACACTATCTTATAATAGCCCTTCTTGCTGAAGCTCTCGCGATCCGCATGGTTTGCCTTATGATCCAAGCTCATAATCTATCGAATGTGGAAATAGAAAGTGATAACCAATTGGTGATTCAGTTGTGCGTCTCAGAAACGGTTCTCTCTTGGGAGATTAGTGCTATGATACTGGACATTCGTGCTATTGCTCTACAGTTTCACCTCTCCTTTACTTGGACATGTTGCTCTAACAACAAGGTGGCATATTGGGTTGCCAAGACCTAAGCATCCATCTCTTTACCTGCTTTATGGAATGTCCATCTGCCTTGCTCTTTTGTTACTCTGCTTTATTCAGATGTAACCCAATTTGGTGATTAATATACTCTCCTTTTATGATCAAAAAAATAAAAACAAAACTGGTGCATACAGGCGTATTAAATTGTCGTGATCCATAGTAACGGTACAGGTTGATACATAATGAGTCGACCTTTCCGGCAGCGAAATACATGAGGTGTGTGCATATGATAATTACAATAATAATCATAAATAATTTAATTTAAATGGTAAATATGCTACAAATTCACTCTTATAATTAAGTATAGATAAGTACAACAAATTAAGCATTTCAGGGTAAAAATTTAGATACAAAATTACTTTTTCGTAATAAATTACTTTCATTTTGGGAATAAAAAATTGTCACCATAAATAAATCTTTTTAACATCAAATTATTTTGTTATTAAAAAGTGCATTTATTAACAACATTTGTAAATTTTTGTTGCTAATTTTTTTTTTTTCCGAAATGACCTTTTAGCGACATGAGAGCACATCTACTCAATATTTCAAATCTAATGTTGCATTCCAACAATTATATATTTTGACTTTAAACATCAACTCCACTTGATATATCAAAAATTAATATGACTTTTGACATCACCTCTTCATTTTAATTTTAACATAAAGATCACTTATTTATTTATTTATTTATTTTTGTCTCTTTTCTTGGCTTCAATTAAAATATCCAATGGGATAATTTATGACAAATTGTGATTGTCAATTCAGTCCACGTCATGTCATGGCTTTTTTTTTTCTTCACAAAAACGGCAGTATTACTCCCTCCGTCCCAAAATATTGATCCTTTTTGGGGAATTCAACTTTTTTTGGTAGTACACTTATTGCATTTAAAAAAAGTTAGTTTTCTAAAATTACCCTTTTGATAGTACATTTTTTGGGAATATCAATGTCATAATTGTACTTTTTAAATTGTTTATTAATTTAAAAGAAGGGCAAAATAGGAAATTTACATTATTTTTGTACTTGATTTATAAAGAGGGACTAATATTTTGGGACAATGAAAAATGGAATAAGGGACTAATATTTTGGGACGGAGGGAGTATTTGAAAACGGTAACATTTTTTTATTTTAATAAAAAAAAATTGTATGTCATTATTATTGTTGTAAACAATAATAATAATAATAATAATAATAATAATAATAATAATAATAATAATAATAATAATAATAATAATAATAATAATAATAATAATAATAATAATAATAATAATAATAATAATAATAATAATAATAATAATAATAATAATAATAATAATAATAATAATAATAATAATAATAATAATAATAATAATAATAATAATAATAATAATAATAATAATAATAATAATAATAATAATAATAATAATAATAATAATAATAATAATAATAATAATAATAATAATAATAATAATAATAATAATAATAATAATAATAATAATAATAATAATAATAATAATAATAATAATAATAATAATAATAATAATAATAATAATAATAATAATAATAATAATAATAATAATAATAATAATAATAATAATAATAATAATAATAATAATAATAATAATAATAATAATAATAATAATAATAATAATAATAATAATAATAATAATAATAATAATAATAATAATAATAATAATAATAATAATAATAATAATAATAATAATAATAATAATAATAATAATAATAATAATAATAATAATAATAATAATAATAATAATAATAATAATAATAATAATAATAATAATAATAATAATAATAATAATAATAATAATAATAATAATAATAATAATAATAATAATAATAATAATAATAATAATAATAATAATAATAATAATAATAATAATAATAATAAATTTTATTTTTTTAATAAATATAGAATTTTTACAAATATAAAATACTATTTTTTTTTTTCTTTTGATGATGTTGTATTTTTGGCCGGGGATTTTCGGGGTCGGGGAAACCCGATCCCCGTTACGGGGCGGGAGTGGGGGCGGTAGTTGGTTCCCCGTCGGGGATGGGGACGGGGACGGGGGGAAGTTCTGCCATCGGGGATCGGGGACGGGGAGGGTGATCCCCGGCCCCGCCCCGCCCCTCCCCTTTGCCATTCCTATCTAAATGGCATCAAACCTCTTTTAAAAATAAATTTATTTTAATTAGTAAAATCATTTGACGTATTGGGTGGATAGTTTTCATATTAAAGTCTTGTTTCTCATAACTAAAAAAAATCAAAAAGTCATTATTCTATTTAAGTCGTATCATCTTATTTAAGTCATATCACCTTTTTATCACACCATTTCAAACCCAACTCATACACAACATATATTTCATAAAAAGTTAAAAAGTGCACTTATTTATATCATCATAAACCACTCCATTTGCCAATTTGTCACCCAAGCATTAAAAAAATTTGACATGCCAAATTTTGAAAGTTTTGGTATAAATGCTCTAACGAATTGATCTTTAAATATTTTTAGGTCTAACTTGTCTCATGTTGAGATCAAGATTGGATTCGTCCAATTCGGCCCATGGGCCTATTTATGGGTCCGGTTTCAATAATCTAAACCGTTCAATGTGTAGAACTTGTAGAGTATTAAACCCCTGTAAAAAATCACGTTGATCAGATATTAATATCTATTTGATCATATTAGAATTTTATCAACCATTAATTTCTTAACCGTTCATTTTGTTTAATACAAATATAATTCGATCAAATAGCTATCGATATCCGATCAAAGTGATTTTTAATCAGAATATAGTACTCGACGATTTCTACACATGGTTCGGATTATCGAAACAATGCCCAAAAATAGGCCCATGGGTTGGACTGGACTGGTCTAATCCTGATCTCAACATGAGACCAGCTGAACCCAATATTTTTTGTAACAAATTTTTTATTTTTTAGAACAAAAAAATTTAATTCTTAAATATGGTTGTAGTCGAAGTTATTTTAAACACTCAAAAAATTAATTTTATTTAATAATTTAAAAATAAATATAGCGCTACACAACTTCAATTAGTGTTCACACCAAATTAAAGAAACATGGTAGATGGATATCATCATTGTTACAACTTTAATTATTTGTTTCCCCCCTCTTTTTTTAAGGAAGAAAATGTAACGGGGTGACTCTACTTATATCATTAATTTAATTTTTCACATCTTTTATGTGAGATTTTTTTTTAAAAAATATTTTTTATTTTATTTTTTATGTTTTATTTTTTTATTTTACCTGTGTAAAATTACTTTTAAGGACAAAAAATAAAAATTAAATATATTTTATTATCGCCTTACACCCATTATTCTTCAATTTTTCAAAAAGTGAGAATTAGTATTTTCTTTATATAAGAAAGCAATAGATGAAGAAATGGTGGTGTAGAACTATCAAAAAGTGAAAATGATGAGTTTGTTTTATTATTATTATTGGTTTGGTAGCTTTTCATTTCATTTTTTAAGAGGATTCTTCGACTTTTGTTTGGTGTGTCAAAATCGAACAAAATAAAATTGTTCAGAATCACATTGCTAGACAAAAAATATATGTTCGGTAATCCACTACTGAATAAAAGATACATTTTCTGGTAACTCAAGGCCAAAGGTTTTTTAATTTGTTCGATTGCTCATTATCGTGTATTTTCAGTTTTAATTTTTTATTTATTTATATATTTTTGTTTTTTTTGCTTAGAATGATTATACTTCTATTTATTACAGCAATGCAAGTACAATCATCCGGCTGCTGAAC